ATACATTTCCATTTTTGGAGAGGATATAGGATCTACACAGCCAATAAAAAGTTCAGCGACTAAGTGACTTGCACCATCTCATATAAAATTGAGCAACGTCATTGGTGCAAATCAATTTTCTCTAATAAACAAAAAACCAGAACAAAAAACCAATTAAAAATGCTTTAGTATCATAAAAATGAGATTACTGTCCAAAAAGGTTGTTTGGCGGTCCTAATTGATCATTTCATTGAATTGTCTTCTGCGGGATGTACTATTCTTCTTCTACCTAACTCAATCTGTTTCAAATTCTGAAGAATTCATATATTCATCATCATCATTAGAAAGATGATTTTCGTTCATTTACAATATAATCTCAATTCTTGCAATTTCAATTTCATCCTTATTTGACTGAATATATTTCTTCTGGCATAGAATTCATTTCAGTGCTTTCCCACTTATGGTTTTTCGAGTTAGGAGAGATAGTCCATGCGAAAAAATTAAACAATTTAATTTCTTGATTTTCTAGGAAGGTGAAAGACAAGTTATTTGAAATTATCGTATAAAACAATAATTGTTCAAACTTTGTTTATCATTTGTTGAAAATGATTAAGCAAACTATAAGCAATTAATGATTATAGATGATCTGCACCGTATAATGAATTTATCAACAAAGGGTCCCAAATTTTCTAGATTCTATTTCCATATTTAGTATATTCCCTGACTGTATTAGCACCGTTGTGTCATCATTCATTATTCCGAAAAAATTTATTTAATACTTTTATAACCTTCCTTGAGATACTAGATTAAAATTTTGATATAACAAACAGTCTAAAAAAATAAAAATACCTTTATTATCTTTACCGTATAATATCAACATAGTTAATTTATATATATCATACTTATTTACAATATATTTAAAAATATAATGATATTGCAAACGTGTGAACGAGTTCTCAACTAGGTTTCCGTTGGCTGCTAACCACAACCGCCACCACTGTTATTTTTTAATTGACAACCACAAACAATAAATAAAAATTAAAATAAATATACTACTTGAGGCGTCCCTACAAGCAGTATAGTAGATTTAAAAGGGTTCCTAACTAATAATTAAACAATTAATCATTAGAAAGGGTTACCAAAATAATTCATAGTGGCTTTGTCTCTTTAACAATTCGTATATAAGAGATAATAATTTAAAATATGTTTATTTCAATGTTAATTAGTTATTACAAAGTTATATGTTTGAAAAGTTATCTATCTGAAAGTTACCTACTTCAAGATGCTTAAATACCTCTTGAAGTTTCACGAAATTATAATGGCTTGATATTACTTAAAATCATAAGAACAAAAAAGACCATGTAGCAATTTACAGATAAAGAAATATTATTATTATTATTATTTAATATTAAATTTTCGAATTTAATTGTATAACAAATATTAAAATAATTCCGTGTTGACAATAATTTATTTTTAATAATATAATTATTATTTATACAGAAAATGTTGACGTTCTTAATAATTGATTATGTTATTCATTTTCACTGTAACGAATATGTAATTTTGTGCCTCTGTTTGCTATAGAGAGAGATGTTATTATATAAAGAGAAAAATTTTTGAATCTGTGAGAAGTTCTGGGTGGCATTCTCAATCTCCAACCATAAATTAATTAGTGTTACCTGTATAACTTTATCACCAATTGTTAAATAAATCGTGAATTAAAAAATTAACATTTGAATTTACTTATTACTATCCTGTCCTCTTGAATTAATCCAAATAACTGTTCTAATACCTTTAATATATTCTATTTAACATTACTAACCTATATTGGATGACAGTTCTCTTGTATCAATTCATAGGAAATATACATCGAACCAAGTTGAATTTTAAGGTGATCCGATTCAATTCGAATCAAATCGGATTCTAAATTTTTTTTTTTTGATGTCATATTAATAGGATTTTTATTCGGATAACGTTTATTCGAATAATTTGATTTGTTCATTATGGATTTGGATACTCAAAATACAAATGCACTGAATGTTTATTCGAATAAAATGGATAATTTAAATAAGAATTTGTTTTACGAATAAAAAAACTTTAAAATTGATTAATATTAAAATTCTGTTTATTGATATCAACGAATTGACTTTTGCACGGTTGCGAAACTCTCGAGTTTTGGAAACCAACACTATAACATTCCAATGAAAAATTTGTTGTAACGCAGATAGGGTTCTTTGCATTGTTAGTATTAATATTAATAATGATAATAAATAAAAGCAATATAATTTACAATTACACAATTCATTGATAAATAACAATGATGAATGACAATAATTGCTTTGTTGAAAATGATGCCTCTTCGATGGCTTCCAAGAACAAAAAATGAAGGGCGAAATCATTTTGCGATTACGGATGGAAAAGCCAAATGCAATTATTGCGCCAGGTAAATATTTTTTCGACTTTTAAAACTATTTATTTCCAAAGGAAACTCTTTTATGCAGAATTCAAATTATTTCATATGAACCAAGTCAAATCAAATCATTTATTTATTCACTTATAGACTTGAATATTTAGCGAATATATCACCATCCAAAACGTTCCTTACTAAAATATAATTGCCTGTATAATATTCTATAGTTGGCGTTGAAAAGATAGCAATGCTTCATATCGATTATTTTGCCCATATAATAAATAATAATATAAAATAGTATGCATATTGTTAGTGCACCTTTACATTTTCAATAAAATTTAAAGTGTCTTTTATATTAATTGATTACGATTAAAGATATCTTAAAGCCTATCCATTTGATTTAACAAAAGCATATAGTAGAGGATATACATGAAGTCGAAATGGTCGAAAATAGTTCTGACTTGTGTTCTAATTTCCTTTAAATCAATTTGGAATGTTCATAAAAAAATTAATAATTACTTTTATCAAAACCTGATTCTAGTTTTCTTTCTTAATCTATTTTAAACCATCATTATTTTTTCAGCTCGTAAAATATAAATCAAATAAGATCAGAAAATTGCATAAACTATAATGATTATCCTACCATAATACGCAATAATATGTATGATCTCACATACACTGCTAGTTTAGCCATTCTATCTCTCTAGTGGCTGTCTTTAAAGAAATTGATAAAGCATCTAACTGCCAGCTACCCTCATTTATGGAAGTATCCATCCGTTCCTTCATACAGTTTACTCTTTCTGATGTAATAGCTAAAAAAGATTTTAAAAAAATCTTTTTTTAAATCAATAAATTTTATTCATCAATATTGTTTTTGGAAATCATATTTTCAAATTCTTTAGCATGATAAAGGATATCAACTGTATTTTTCATCAGCTCCCATTCTTCCATTGTAAATTGAGCTTTGTATCAAGAATGAGGGATATTATTGATGATGCAAGAGGATCGGTGAAATCAAGTTCATTGGACCAAAGTTTTTTATTATTGATTTGATTCCAATTTGAAATGGTTCAGATAAACTGTTTCTGGAGATTTCCTTCATCTTTTTAAAATGTAATCAGTAATTATTATATTCACGAGTATACAAACACATCTAAATAACTTAAATTATTAAAATAAAGAATAATTGAATAGAGATAATTTGCCCAAAACTAATTATAAATCATCTTATTGCTGGTAAAACCAGACATGCTTAATAAATATCTGCCTTTAATTTATTTCATTAGCTTTGATTATTTTTAAAAAGTCTGATTTTTGTACCTACATAAGTAATGAAATAACTAATAAAATATTAGATACTCTAGTTAATTATTATTCGAAATCAGATTTTGATTCTGTTGTGCGTGAAACTTAAACACACGAAACGATTCAAAAGATTTTAGATTTACAACTATAATATGTGGTGTCAGATTCCCCCCACCATATTATTACTATAGAAAATTTATCTATGGAAATTTCTGTACATTTGTGATATTAATATTAATATTAATATTTATTTGTATATTGTAAGAAATATCCTTTAATAATAATAATGCATGTAAAATTTTCCGGAAGAGTTATAAATAAGCACTAAAAAACGCACTTATTGTACCTGATACAAGGAGTCAGTGTGCTCGATGTAAGAAGGAAACGTACCGGTTCAAAGACCTCATCTAAAGATTGGTCAACCTTATTATTGTTATTATCAGTAGTTCAAAGAGGTAAATATATAAATATACAAATAATATGTTTCTGTTTTCTTTTTTGCATAATTACACGAAAATATAAAATGGATAGTAATAGATAAATGGACAGGATATTAATTTTACAAATTTCTGTTACACGGACCATTTATTTTTTTTTAAAAAATATATATATATCTTTAAAATAAATGTAAAGGAAAAAGAGCGCAAGATCTATCTATCTATATATATATACATATATGAAAAATAGGTATATATATAAGATAATTTTTATTTACTATTACATACAGGTGTTGGTCGTAGTTATTATGGTGGTGTTTGAACCGCTGGATCAATAACAACACCCGATGACTGCATCAATTGCTCATACGTATATAAATACGTATCATAATAATCATCATGGCTTGATTGTTGCTGATCATTGGTTTGATGATTATAGGTTGAGGTTGGTAAGACACAGCCCTCAGTACTCCGATGATTACCTCCTACAAATTTTTTTAAGAAAATTACATATAAAAAATTTTTTTGTTAATAACAAAAAAATTAATTAATTTACATTACTTGCAGAATACAGAAATATGTACATATATTATTGTTATTATTTTTATTATATTACTAATACTTTTATCAATATTATCATAATGAATCAAGATACCTTGTGTATAGGCTTCATTGCTTGGACCACATAGAGCCATAGGTTGTGTCAATTGTTCATGCGGTGATAAATCAGTATTATCATGACTATTGATATTATCTAGATTTATTAAAATATGTACGCATCAAGTATGTTATTATTGTTAGCAGTGTTTGATTTTTATTTTTATTTTTATTATTGCTACTATTATTACTAATACTTTTATCAATATTATCATAATGGATCAAGTTACCTTGTGATTGTCTAGGATAGACTTGCAAATCTTCAATGCCTGAACTCAAACTAATAAAGCCACCTTCACGCATAACACGACCATTAACCAAATCAACGTTGTCTTTACGAAAACATGACGTATCAGTAGTGTTTGTTTTTATTTTATTTTTATTATTACTACTACTATTATTACTAATGTTTTTGTCAATATTATCATAACGAATTAATATACCTTGTGGATTGACTTGTAAATCTTCATTGCCAGATTCAATAATATTCTTCACACCTTCAATTAGACCACGATGAGTATCATTGACAGCATTATCAGCAACGTTGACATCATTAGAATTGCTGTTTTTAGTTTCATTCATCTATTAATTAAGGAAATAAATAACTATTTGGAACAAAGAAAGAATATTTGAAAAAAGGATGTTTTACCTTTGGTTTGTTTTTGCTAGGTCTGCCTCTACTTTTGTGAGGTTTTTTAAAACTGCAATTCTTATTATTATTATCAATACATCTATCACACAAAGAAAACCCCTCTCTCATATTACACTTAGCATGCGCATCAATACAGCTATCACATGCACGAGTACAATTATGGCGAGATGATGAATTTGTTGGATATGTATTGGTCTGTTGTAACAATGGAATACCAGTTTGCTGTTGTTGGAATTGTTGCTGAGGTGGTTGAAGTACTTGAAAACGTTGTTGTTGCAGCTTCTTAGATTCTTGTAATTGCTGCTGGAGTTGTTGGAATTCTTCTTGCAGCTCCTGGAACTGTTGGGATTGCTGCTTGAGTTGTTTCTGGAACTGTTGAGATTGCTGCTGGAGTTGTTGAATTTCTTCTTGCAGCTCCTGGAACTGTTGGGATTGCTGCTGGAGTTGTTGCTGGAACTGTTGAGATTGCTGCTGCTGTTGTTGCTGGAGTTGTTGGTATTGCTGCTGTTGTTGTTACTGCTGTTGTTTAAATTCTTGTTGCATCTTCTGGAACTGTTGTTGCTGGAACTGCTGCTGTTGCTTATTATTATGCGACATTTTTTTTATAAAAATAAAATTTCGAATTCCGAATTCCAAATTTCAGATTTTAAATTTCAAATTTTAAATTGATAAATGAAAAAAGAAATTAATTAATCAAAACGAATTATTATCATGGTTAAATACTAAAAAAACAAAATTTACTAATTCTCCTCGTAATAATAATCGATTCAAATTTTCCGTAAGTTAGTTACACACATTAAATCAATTATTTGGATGACATGTATTACATATATCATTTAATTCCGACAAGCCTGTCTTAATGACATACGACGAAACTTTTGATTTTAGTCATTGACATAGTTTCTCACCAGGGCCATTTTGACAAGTAAAATCCTTGACATAAGTAAAATCACTTGACGTAATTAAAACACTTGACATAATTAGAAACGCTTAATACAAATAAGAAACTTGATGTAAAAAAAATGATTAAAGTTATCTAGAAAATTAATGAATTTATATATAATGACTAAGGAAAATAACAGTGCTTCAGTTTTCGTGGTATTTAAAAAAAAAGAAAAATAGCAACATTTTAAATTCTAAGCCAACATTACACATTATAATAAAATGTTATTTTCTACTATTATGCTCTTTATTTACTTTACTTGGTCACGGTTATATTAACAAAATAAGCAATTGTGAGTATTAATAACAATATTGATAGAAAACATATTCGTGGTTTATTGTGTTCATTTGTTTTTGGTGCCAAATTGAAGAGGAACATATATTTATATGTTATTTTGCGAGTTTATATATCTAAAGCCACGTCAAGGTTTTTACTTGCGTCATTTTTGACTAATAACATTTCGCCAATTAACATTAGCCTGTCTAATACTAATAAACAATTTATAAATGCGATAAAGGTAAATTTTATTATGAATTTGCTCAACAATATTTTTTCTTTGCTAATAATAAACACATTGCGATATCAGGAGAATTGACGTTTATTATTATTATTATTATTATTATTATTATTATTTATTATTATTATAAATATTTGTTTGTACTTGTTTACTTGCTTGCTTGCTTACCAGTAACTCCTTACTACAAAACGTAACAATTGTACTGCGTCCCAGGCTAAAAAAAGTAAAAAAAGTACTAATTACATTCATTCTTTCTATGTAATTATTATAACCTTATTTTTTATTATTTTTATCTCTTGTCAAAGAAAAAAAAACTATTTAAAGGGTTGGTTTTTTTTTTCCTAAATTTTTCGTCAAATAGCTAATTTTTCTTATCACTCAATAATAATAATAAGAATAAGAAAGTATAAATCAACAAGTTAATTGAATAATGCCATTAAAATAAATAATCATGGAATTATTTATTTAAAATGGCATTCTTACATAGATGAGAGTAAAGGTGAAGGGCTTGAAATGCTTTTCGTGTGGATAATATATGTAAAGAATTTATTTTTTTTGAAATCTATAATACAGGTTTTTCACTGATGATTATGATGACATGATACGTATATATACAAAAAACATTATTTCCGATTAATGATTGCATCAATAGGAGAATCGAAATATTTGCACATGAAATAAATGCTGCTGTTTTCAAGTAACCCAGATGTGGTCCATTCATTGGTATAGAACTATTAATTTATCTAACTAACTGTTCGTTAACAAATTACGATATTGTGTATCAAAATCAATCTTCGTAGCCAATGATAATGCATTCGGATCAAGCTCGAAAAACGTTAATGTTTTCAGATAAAGATTGAATTGGTTGCGAAAACAAACCTGTGTTGAGTTGATCGAAATTTTTAAACAGACCTTAAGTGGTGAATGTGAACAACTTGAAGAGGGAGTTATAATAGTGCTGTAGTTACTGCTACTTCCGATGACAATGTTGTTGTTATTATTGCAGTAGGTATACATACATGACATGTTATGAGTTGAAGAAAAAATTTTTATTCATACACATCAGAGTTTCATTATTATAATTAGCCCGTGGATGTTGTTATAGTGATGGTGATGATGGTTGACTGCACTACAACCTAGCGATTGATTGTGACTTGATTTGATTATAGCATAGCTTGTGGTTGGTGAAGCTTGGCTGACTATCAATAGTTAACGTATTACCACTTTCGGACGGTTATCTTCTGATATTATTTTTTTATTACATGTATGATATTGTGTATATGTGAGTTTAATATTTATCTTGTAAATCAGTACTTTAAATTATTTTTAAAAATTTTTTTTCGTTAATAAAAACAAATACTATTATCCTAATGAATCAAGATACCCTGTGGATAGACCTGTAAATTTTCATTGCTCCTTCAAGTATAATACGAGCCATAAGTTGACGAGTATTGTTGACAGTATTATCAGCAATGTTGACATTGTTAGAATTTCCAGTGTCACAGTTTTCAGTTCATACATTTATTGATAAATAACTCCTTGGAATATTGAAAAAAATGATGCTTTTACCTTTGGTTTGTTTCTGCGACCTCATTTCCGAATTTTCATCAAAAGTACTTTCTCTTATTCAATAATACAAAAAGTAGAGCCCTCTCTCTTCCATTCACCTTAGGCATGCATGTAAAGGGTGTGTATTCTTTTTCATTTGTACTTTTTTTTGTTGTCGACGCCGAATTGATTCAGTTTTGCTGATCTTTTTGCAGTTGTTAATTTTTCGGACACGCACCAGGATTTGGTAATTTTTCTTCGAAAGAACTTTAAAGTCTAAAAATCCATTTTGGATCTAAAAGATCTCTAACTTTCATTCAATAAAATATGATGATAAAATGCCAATTTTTTCGAAAGTTGCACGCAGCTACACAGCTTAGTATTAGGCTTGGTAACTGAAAATTGCAGGTTTTGTTTCTTGTTATTGATTAAATGACGTATATATCATTAATATGAATTTTGCCCAACAAAAAATAATAAATAGATGATAGGAAAAAAAATTTTTTCGGTTACACTACCCATTTAAAAAATTCATTTACGAATAATAAAAAAGAATATGTACATGCATGCACAGCACATACATATATGATTATGGACCCAATAATATCAATTCTTTTAAAGTAAAATTATTCAGATCATAACATTGTTCAAGCTGTTGCAATAACATCACTACCTCCAAACAGTTGTACTTGTAGAGGATTATCTTTTATTATTAAGGAAATTTTGTATAAAATTTGGTGAAAATTATATATATATATTGAGTTTAATATTTTTATCCATTTACCCTGAAAGTTAGCCTGCGGAAATATGTACGTATATTATTATTATTGCTATTACTTCTACCATAATTAGTTAAAATACCTTATGATAGACTTGCAAATATTCAAACCCTAGACTTGAGGTACTTTCACGTGTAGCACGATTATCAACCAAATAATCGTTGTTTATGACGCATCAGGTATATTGTTATTGTTAATAGTGTTTGCCTTTTATTATTGCTACTAACGAATTAAGATATTTTGTGGATTGACTTGTAAATCTTCATTTCCTGGTTGAAGGAAATTCTTCACACTTTCAATAAGTATCATTGACAGTATTGTCAACAACGTTGACATTGTTAGAATTGCTGTTTTCAGTTTCATTCATCTATTAATTAAGGAAATAAATAACTATTTAGTAAGAATATTGAAAAAAGGATGTTTTACCTTTGGTTCGTTTTTGCTACCAGGTTTGCGACCTCTTTTTTCGTGAGGTTTATTAAAACTGCAATTCTTATTATTATTATCAATACATCTATTGCACAAAGAAAAACCCATCTCTCATATTACACTTAGCATGCGCATCAATGTACTGATCACATGCACGAGTACAGTTTTGGCAATATGGTGAATTCATTGGATATGTATTGGTCTGTTGTAACAATTGAGTACAAGTTTGCTGTTGTTGGAGTTGCTGTAATTTTTGTTGCAGCTTCTGGAACAGTTGGAATTGCTGCTGCTGTTGTTGCTGATGTGACAATTTTTTTTTATAAAAAAAAAATAAATTTACTAATTTTTCTCGTTAATAATCGATTCAAATTTTCCGCAAAGTTACAAACCAATTACAATGTGTTGAAGCAGAATTACTTACATCATTAATGTTTATTTTAATTCCGACGAGCCTGTCTTAATTACATACGACGAAACTTTTGATTTTAGTCGTTGACATAGTTTCTCACCAGGGCCGTTTTGACAAGTAAAATCCTTGACGTAAGTAAAACCACTTGACGTAATTAAAACACTTTGACGTAATTAAAAACTCTTAATACAAGTAAAAAACTTGATGTAAAAAAAATGATTAAAGTTATCTAAAAAATTAATGAATATATATATAATGACTAAGGAAAATAACAGTGCTTCAGTTTTCGTGGTATTTAAAAAAAAAAGAAAAATAGCAACATTTTAAATTCTAAGCCAACATTACATATTATAATAAAATGTTATTTTCTACTTGCTTTTACTATTACGCTCTTTCTTGGTCACGGTTATATTAACAAAATAAGCAATTGTGAGTATTAGTCACAATATTGATAGTAAACATATCGTGTTTTATTAATAGCCTACGTAATAGTAATAGATATTGGTTTTTGGTGCAAAATTGAAGAGGAACATATATTTATGTTATTTTGCGAGTTTGCAATTTTACTTTACGTCAAGGCAAGTCGTTGTCAATTTCTTCATCTCCATCCTTTAAAAATTTTATTATGAATTTGCACATTTTTTCCTTGCTAATAATAAACACATTGCGACATCGGACGAATATGTGAGAATTGACGATTATTTCTTTGTTTTTTTTTTATTATTATTATTATCATAAATATTTGTTTTGTACTTGTTTACTTGCTTGTCTGCTTGCTTACCTGTAACACTTTACTACGGCGTCAGTTAAGATTGATTGACAAAAACGTGCGTAACAATTATACTGCGTCCCAGGCCAAAAAAAGCAAAACAAATGTACCCAACTACATTCATTCTAGTTGTAATACACCTTAATTAATGACTATTTTTCTCTTCTAATTTATTATAAACCTTTTATTTTTTATTTTTTTTTTTAAAAAAAAAATACTTAAAGAGTTGTTTTTTTTTCTAAATTTTTTCATTAAATAGCTTTTAACAAATTAATTAAATGCTATTAAAATAAAACATTTATGAGATTAATTTATATAGAAGAGAAGAAAAGGTCAATAAAAGGTAAAGAGCAAAGGGCTTTTATGGTTTAAGAGGATAAGTGAATAAAATTTGCAAATGCTTTTTTGTGTGGTGATATGTGTAAAAGTTTTTTTTTTTTGAATAAAAATATGAATAAAATAAAAAAAAGAAAATAAAAAGAAAATTTTTTTTTTGAAGTCTATAATACAAAATTTTGTTTTTTTAGTTTTTTTATTGTTGATGATGATGATTATAATGAGAACCCTGCTCTCCAATAAATGGTTGTACGACTTGAAATACATCAGTAGGAGGAGCATCGAGTTGATAATTACCACCATTTATACTTAAAATAGGTTCTGTTTTCAAGTAATTCACATATTGTTCATTCATTGGTGTAGAACTATTGAATGTATCCAACAAACCGTTCACTAACCGATAATGGTATTGTATTGGATCCATTTCACCTCCATAGTTATCATTAACTATCTCAAGATCAAAATTTGTAGTTAACACATTAGGACCAAGCACAAAATCACTAATGTTTTCAGGTGGAATTGGAAATTGAAGTTGGTGTGCATTGTATCGATCGGAGGTGCCAAAAAAGCTAAATGGAGCTTGAATTGGTGAATCAGTCAAGTTGCTACTTCCAATGACAGTATTGTTATTGTTAATGTCGTAAGTATCATGCGAAGATGTGAACGAATATGAAGGTGTTGACAATGTACTTTGAAAAGATGAGGAGGGTGTCAATCCATTATAAAAACCCAAAGTTGATGGATCATTATTATTATTTCCGTCAATACCAACACCTTCATTATTGAGTAATCCTTTTATGATATCATTAAATTTGACATCATTAGATTTGATCAATGATTTTTTTCTAGGTTTTCTAGTTTTCTTAACTCCATTGTTTGTAATTTTTTTGATGGATTTCCCCTGACCATTAAGCCTACCTTGGGGACGGCCACGCGAAACTTTCGGCTGAATACGAACACAGTCATGACCCTTTTCTTGACAGTTTTGACATGAGGGCCTTTGGTCGTCGCATCTTATGTGTCGTTTCTGACAATAAGAACAAGCGGTTGTTACATAAGCTCTTTCCCCTTCATCTCCATTTTTTATTATACCAATCGTTTCATTGATCATTGGTGGAATATCAACACAAGCAGCTGTTAGGCCTTCATTTACACCTTTAGCATCGAGAATGACGGTCAAATTATCTGTTTGATGATTCATTTGTATCATTTTGTTCATTTTTTTAGTTGGATAATTTTATGTTTTGTTAAAGAACAGTTAACTTAAATTGGTTAGAAGTTTTATTTTTTTTTTTGGTTTTTTTTTTGATTTTTAATTAATAGAGGAGCATTAATTATTGAAGCAAAGAATATTTCTTTTTTTTTTAGATGAAAAAAATATATAATGAACGAGATGAACTGTGGTTCCGATTTTATATTTATATAGTCAAAAAAAAAAATATGAAAATATTCCAACCAAATAAATAAGGCGGAAATTTATGATAATTTATACTAAATTTAATTTTCCACAATTTATTTTTACGTCGTATTATTTATTTATATTTATATTATTTATATAGATATATAAGTATATTATCTTTCATTCAAGTTCAGTGAACTATATAATTTATATTTTCCGAATAGCAGGAAATAAAGTTAGAAGGCGATATTTAAAATAAAATAAATTAGAAATATAAAAAAATAAAAAATAAATAATATAAATAATAACACATTTATTATTTATAATATACAATATACATAGCATAATCAATCATTATATATGTATATTATAAAAATTATTGTAACTAACATATTAATTTTAAATTAAAATAAATAAAAAATCTTTGCAACGATCTTAATATATGTGTTAAAATTTACAAAATAGTTCCTAATTATATTAATTCTACAGTCTATAAATTTTTATTCTATAAATTTTTACTCTATATGTATATATTTTTTATATTGTTTATATATTTTTTATATATTTCTTATATAATTTATATTATTTTATAATCATAATTACTTATAAGTTATTATTTTATAATTATTTATAAATTTATAATTATTTATAAATTTATAAATTTATAATAAATTATTATTTACAATTATTATTTATAAATTATTATTATTATTATAATATATTATATTTATAAATTGATAATTTATAAACTGTCATTACCATTATACTTGAACAAAATATTTCTTGGTGGCAATTGATTCATAAGAGAGATAAAATCTTCAAAATCATCGAAATTTTCAAAACTATGTTTCAACAGTTTTTCAAACGAAACTGTTTAAAAAAATAAAAGTAAAAAATTTTTGAATTAATTTAATTATGTCATACAATATTTTTTTGCATATTAATATTACGAATAAAAAACACGTGCCATCGCCATTATCATCTTGATTATTATTGTTATCATTTCCAAGAACGTTTTTGACAATATCTTTATCAAAAACTCCAAAGACATCAATGTTTTTGGTTTCAATTTCTTCAATCTCTTTAATTGCTTTTCTGACACATTGAAGATTGCGTTTTTTGCAATATTTACAAACTTCACCTTCTGTACATTTGATTTTCTTCGATCGACATACACCACATGCAACTTTTGTTCGTTTTGTTTTTTTATTTTCATTACAATTTTTTGTCTGTTTAATATTTTTTGGACCCATTATTATTATTATTAGTGTTGTTGTTGTTATTATTATTATTATTATTATTTATTTATTTTCAAATAATTATATCTTTATATTTATCTCATATGTTAAGCTATCATAATTTGCTTGGGAGAAAAACCATCGATCAAAAATTCTCTGTATTTATAATTTCAACAATAAATTATTAAACGAATTCACTCAAGAAAATCTTCATTTTTATTATATTTATTAGCTAAATTTGTCTTTCTTCGGCCATGCCATGTTTTATTAAAATTCATTACAAGAAGCAACCAATTAATTTTTTTCTTTTTTTAGCAATTATATTATTATTAGTATTATCAATAATTGCTTAGTAGTTACAATACTAGTAAAGTTACCTTGATTTACATAAAAAGCTCAAATAACCATTACTTCTCGGGAATTTTTTTCACATTATCGCAAACATTTGCTAAATTAAAATTATGATTTACCAGCTAATGTAGTGAATAGGTCACGATGTTACATAATTTTTTGCACGTATACACGCATTAATATTTCCTTTTTATTATTAAAATTTAAATTTATGAATCTTTTCGAAAATTCAAAAAAAGAAAGGTTTGTTTCGAAAATAATCATTTGTCCATTAATTTTTATCTCAGTCATTTGATTTTTATCTGACCAACTAACTTCTCGGTTATTAGCAAAGAGAGATATATTTAATAATATTATTTTTTTATTTTTTATATTTTTCAACGATGTATTCCGGTATAACGATATTGATTATACAATGATTTGATTGCAGATTACGTATAATTATATAATCCTTGATCTGTGACAATGAATATAACTACGTACCATTCAGAGATTTTTCTTCGCCTATTACCATAATTATTCCTTTATCATATTATAATAAAATCTATTTTTATATTATTTCTTACCAACTAACCTGAATAAAGTAACTTTCCATAAAGAAAATTTATTCATTTTTTTTCAGCTTCTTTAATGAATATTAATTTGGTCAAAGAAAGAGTTACTAACGTCGTTTATAAAAAATACATTAATTATTTTTGAGAAGCGAGAAAAATTTAAAATTTAATATCGGGATCTTTAGATAATTTTTTTAACAGACGTTACACGAATTAAATGACCCACATTTACAATAACAAAAATTAAACCTTAATCCACAACATATCCAGTAAATTATAATGATGATGATAATAACGATGATGCACGAAGCTCGTAATTGTACTACTAAGTTACCGCAAGAAAAAGAAAGTGATAGGGGAATCATGTAACGTAACCTTAAAATTGTTCCGCCATTCTTTCATATATAACTAAATTTGCTCAAAACGTACTACTTAAAAATTCCGATAAAACTTGAATTAACAATATTTGTGAAAATCTTATTGATTCAAAACTAAAAAAATTCCGACAAATTTGCTTAAATGGTCCGTTATATAATCAAAAGCTCTCCGTTTTTTATTATAGAAATATGGAATTCTTTTTCTTTACTGTTGATTATATAGAAATTTCCAAAAAAATTAAAATTGATTGTTCTATAGAAAACTTGAATATTATATAAAGATGTCATCGTCGAGAATTAAATAATCTTTTTTTTAAGAAAATATTAGAACAAAATCATCCTTTACACTTAATAACTTTTTCGTCTTTAAAAAATTATTGACTGCAATCATGGTACATGCATCTTCTTCTCCTTATGAACGTGCAAAATATGTTCTTGTTGCATGCGCGGAATGCAGAAGGATAAAAAAAAAATGCTCTGATGGTAACGAGTGTGCTAGATGCAAAAAACGTAATATCCCATGTGTAAAATATGAACGAAAAAATAAATCCAAAAAATTTCATAAATCCTTTAAATCTATCGATGATTTGGAAGCGAATTTTGGTAATAATAATTCTTATGTTATATATATAAGTTTGATTGTGACATATCTCTAATTATATATTCATCACATTTCCCATTTCTTTCTTTCAGATACATCATCAGGCGACGAATCATATCAACAAAATCAACAAAGTTATTGCAGAAGTGATGATTGTCATAATACTAATAAAATGAATGTGGACTATATTATAAATTCAACAACCGTGCATTAAAATTTTAAATTTTAGAACGAATTTTTTTATGTATGAATTTAAAAAAAAATAAACACATGACAAATATTTTTTTTATTGACGAAATTTATTTTGTTTTCTTCCCAAAACTAATAATATAAGCTAATTATTTAAATATTTTTTAAAAATTTTAAATTAAACTATTGTGTGCGCGTATATAAGAATTTAAGAAAATAAAAAAAATAGATATACTTTTTTATCTCTCTTTTTTCAATTTTAGTTAAGTTTTTTCTATATTAATATGTAATATTTGCAATATAAGATTTCTCTATAAAAAAAAATTAAAAATCTTGATTATGATTAAAAATTTAAACATTTATATGTACACTTTTAACATAAATATAAATTTAAAGTTCCCTCAAAAAAATAAACAAACACACATACTTAGAAACACGTTCACATGTAACATGGGCTTTTTTTGACAAACCAAATATAATCATCATTGGAGATTGTTTCAAAATTTATAAAAAAGTTACGTAACAAATATCTTCTGGTCAAATAATATTATTAGAGACCCTGAATGATGCATATTAATATACAGTAATGGGTAACACACATACATTTGCTTGGCCATCTATAACATTTTGTCAGCCCAAGGCCCAAGTGGTTAAAATTAATCAGTGAAAGATTTAGAAAAAAATTTTTTTTTCATTGATGGTAACCGCAGACGGTCAAATGAGCTTTGACACTATAAAAAAATCTGTGCCGATTGCCGATTAATATGTGGAAACGAGGCTCTGATCGTTTTGTTCAGGGCCCTATTCAAATATTTGAATATATATGCCATTTGCATTAATAATATTAACATTGAATGTCCATATGATGGATTTTCAGGGCTTAGTACTAAAATTGTCAATTTATTATTATTATTGGTTAAACAATCATTATCTCTCAATTATTTTCGTGATACTAATGGAGGTTTCTTCGACAACTTTATCCATTGGATTATCACTATTTATAATAATAGTTCTTGGCTCCTCTGTTGGTTCTTCCAATGTTGATAATTGAGATTCAAGCATCTGAATTTTCATAAAATGTTTTTCCTCCTCTTTCTTATTCTCATCTCTCATTGATAATCTTTGTTCTAATACATTCTTACTTGTCTTTAAATATATAAACCATACTTCCACATTATCATTATCATTATAGAGATCGTAATTTCTTATAAATTCGCGATATTTATATTTTAAAGCAGAACATGTAACCACAACACCACGAATTCCGCTGCAGTCATCATTATTAACAAATAATTTTCTAATAATAGCGTTTTTGATTGAATGTAGCCAAGGTTGTCGATCTGAATCAGTAAGTGGAACATTTGATGACATTTTCTCGATATTTGTCGATGAATGAAAATCATCACCTTCGACAAAATGGAATTTAAATTTTTCAGATATTAATCTTCCGACATGACTTTTTCCTGAACCACTGCTTCCCTAAGTATCAAAATTAGATTGATATTTAAGCACACATTTATTTCCTATTTATATTTGATATTTTGACATTGTTTTTGTTAAGTATTTACCATAAAAATAAATGCAATGTTTTTTCCTTTGTTTGCCAAGTTCAATTCATTCATTATTTTCTATATTTGGTTTGGATTAAAATAAGATTAAAAAAATTAAAAGGGAGGGAGGGTCAGTCAGATACAATAATATCACAACTATTTATATATTAGTAAATATGCATAAAATATTCTAACCAATAAAATATAATTTTAAAAATTTCCCCAATTTTTGATTGAAAAATAAAATATTAATGTGGAAGTTACATGAACATTTGATTTTTCCCCAAAAAAAACAAAAATGATTGTTGCACGAAAATCTTTAAAATTTTATTTTTTAATCAACGGACAATAAACTGTTTTTTTTTGATTTAAATAGTAAACAATTAATTTTTTAATATTTTTCTTCATCTATTTTTTTTTAATTTCTTAAAAAAAATTTTATACATTTTACGATCTTTTCAAAATCAATTAATTTACGCAACAAATGCACGCGTATCCTTTCTTCCCACCTTTATTTAATTAATTACAATTAATATTAATATAATGTCACCACATGAAGAATCTATTAATAATTTAGAAAAAAATGACAACAGCAATGTCGATTATAATATAACAAATCCAATTGATAATAATAATTCATTTATTAATAAAAATATTATATCAAAAATGAGGTTTAAAAAATTAGTTGTAGAAGAGAGACCGAACGCACCAAAAGAAATTGTTTTACACGCGATATTTGGTGGCTTAAGTAAGAACTTGAGCTGTTGTTTTTTAGTTTTTTGAGCTTTAGTTTAGGATTTGAGCTTTTAGTTTGAGTTTTAGTGCTTGAGCTCGAGTATTTTTTAAAATTTAAAGTTTAAAAACACGTGTAATGATATATAATTCATACTATAATAATAAATATAGGATCTTGTGTAATGGCTTATGGTATTCGTGGTGGTGTAAATTTTCTACTTAATTTATTAACTGTATTTAGAAAAAGGTTAATATAAACAATCATATTAAATTTGAATTTTAAATTTTTGAAAAATTCTTTACAAAACATTTTTTTTTATCAAGGAAAGGGACAATTTATCGAGCATTTATACATGGATTCTTTGGAAAAGATGCAATTAGATTTGCTGTGGGATTTGGAGGGTTTTCATTTTTATGGAAATTTATAAACAACGGACTACGTTATATGCGTAATAAAGATGATAAATGGAATTCTTTTATTGCTGGTAAAAAAAAATTAATCTCTAGATAAATTTTCACTTATTTAAACAATAATTTATTTATTATATGATTTATTTTAGGTTCAATTGCTGGTATTTCACTTTTAGCTGAGAAACGTGAACGAAGAGTAGCAATTTCACAACAATTATTTGTTCGGTTAATATGTGATTTTTTTTTGCATTTTGATTGATTATGTTTTCGCTCTTTTTTTGTTAACAAAAAATTCACAATTAAATATACAGTGCACTTCAAGCATTATTTAATGCTGGTCATGCTAGAAAATATTTTAGATTTCCACATGGCGTTTCCTTATTATTCATCATTACCACTGGACAAGTTTTATATGCTTACACGGTAATCATTACTCACTTGGTAATTATGACAATCATTTATATTTATTAAATTTTATAATATATTATTAATAGATGCAACCGAATACAATACCATCAGATTTTTTTCAATGGATGGTAAAAATGGCACGTGTTCCTAAAGAAACATTGGATTTAAATCTGAAATTAACTCGTGGTAACAGCTCCTTAGAGTTGAGTAATATGACAAAAATACTTAATAAATATAAGGGAACTAGACATGCTTACAAAGTTGTTTCAAATTTGCCACCAAATCCTGTTACAGTTCCCTGGTAATGTTGTTTATCATATTTGTGTTTTTGCGCGAATTCTGGCATAGAATTGGAATTTTATGTAAAAACTAATATTTATTTTTTATTCATATGTATATGTATATATATATAGTGAATTGATACATCCAAAGTTTAATTCATGTACTTATACAACAACCGAAAGATTTTATCAAGTGTTTAAAACAATTGTTCCAGTTTATGCAACTTTAAATTTCGTGCCAATGATTGCATTGAAATTCGCACAATTTATGAAAGAGTAAGAAAGAATTATATGTTCATTAATTAATCTCATGCAAAATATACTTACACATGAATTTGGTGTCTTTACCAGTCCAAAATCTCTTATTAAAAAAGGGACTGCAAATACTGTAAGATCAAGTGTATTTTTAGCAACATTTATTGCCAGCTATCAATCACAGATGTGTCTACATCGTAACCTTGTAAAGAGTTTCGGTCTAAATTGGAACTCAAAATATTTGTATTGGTTGGCTGGTATATTTTCGTCTGCAGCCATCTTCATTGAGCATAAAAGTAGACGAACAGATTTGGCTTTATATGTTTTACCTAAAGCTGCTGAATCTTGGTATAAAATTATGTATCAAAAAAATTGGATTTTTGAATTAAATCGAACTGCTGATATTTGGTTTTTCTCCACCGCTATGGGAGTTATTATGGTATGTGTTTGTTGTTAAAAATGAGAGTAAGGGAAATAATTTCAGAATTTCTAAATTTCTAATTATTAATCTTATATTATTATTTCATTCAAAAGACATTTTATCAACATGAACCTGAAGTATTAAGTCCAATGTTAAAGAAAATTTTATTTCATTTTTTTGGTGAAAATTAAGAAAAATATTATATTATAAGATTTTATAAGTTGTAAAAATTTTTGGTTTAGAAATCAATGTAATTAACTAAATAAATATAAAATATTTTCTTGTGAAACAAAATTTTTAATGTTTCCTTTTATTATTTCCATTACTGGACTGGTTTTTCATTTTAAATTTCATTGACATTTTAGGTTTTATTTTTTTAAATTTCATATATTATTATTATTTCTATTATTATCATTTTAGGTTTTATTTTTTTAAATTTCATCATCTTAATATTATTATTATTTCTATTATTATTCTATTATTTATATTCTTATTATTAATACCATTTCTTTTATTATTATTATCATTGTCATTTCTTTTTCTTTTTTTAATTAGAATTTTATCTTCTTCCTCTTCATTATCATCATCTTCTTCTTCACTATCTTCACTGTTATCATCATTATTGTTGTCATTGTCATCAATATATTTATCCATGTTATCAATAGTAATTACGTATATTCCTTTGGTATTACTTCATAATTTTAATCCAAAAATATATTACAAGTTAAAAAATTAAATTACAAATTAAAATTGTATAAAATATAATATTTGTTACACCTTTTAGTTGCTGATCCACTTGTTGCTAATCTATGAGCTTCCTTTTCTAGTTTATTTCTTTTGACATTTTTTTCTTGTTCTTTTCTTCTTGTCACTTAATTGTTTATGCCTTTCTCTTTCTTTCTCCATCTTTTTGATTTCTTGTGGAGTTTTATGCACTATGTATGTATAATATATATATATATATATATATAATGCACATGTAAATTTATTGAATAATTCATTAATGAAATCAGAAACAATAAATTAACATTAATCCATTTGTACTTTAATTGGTTGTAATTCCATATCTCTGTTGATTTAATTGCTCTTGTATCAGCTTTTTATAATTCCTACCAATATAATCTTGTGCTAGTGTCACTGATCTCTCCTCCATTCCACTTTCTTCCTTCTTACTCTCTGATATACATCCATCATTCCTAAAATTAATTAATGAGTAAGTATGAGGATGAAAAAGCGTGTGTATATATATGAATATAACTATATTTATTTATAAATGTCTATGGCATACTTTAAAATGAAGTCACTTATATCATTATAATTATGCAAATTGTTGCTGTTGTCATGACTTTATGAATACCTTTACTAATACCAACTGGCTTCAATCCAATTAAGTAATGTCAAAAATCTATATTTTTGGTTGCCAAATCATAACTAAACAATACCACTATGTGTGCATCTGATAATTGTATCTATAGATATAGGGATTTATTGAAATTATCAACCAAATCAAGATAATCAAAAATATGCTTTAAAGCACTGTATTAGTGAAAAAGAATATAAAACAATTAGAATTTTGAATTAAATAAATTATAAAAATAAATAAATTACATCTAAAGAAATAGTAACTTTCTCACTAGAGTGGTTTGTGCATAATCCTAAATTTTTTTCTATCACATATGTGACTGCATGCTTTGCAATAGAGCACATTGAGATAGTTAATTTGAAATTTTCAACACTGCTCTACTATTAAAAAACTTCTACCAATGAAAAATAAATCCTAGAAGGAAAATGATAGAAGAATTCAGGAATAGGGCAATAAAGAAAAGCAGAAAGAAGTGGAGAGTGAATTTGATGAGAATAATGAAGCAAAGAGGATGCAAATATTAATAATAACATTATTGATAATAATAGCAGTAGTATTAGTGAAAGTTGAATTTTTGTCAGTGCTCAAAAAATAGGTAATACTTACAAATGGCTTTGGGTCTGAGTATTTTCCTCCCATGCAAGTGCTCTGACGATTTTTAAATTATATTTTATGTATTTTTATAAAAAATAATTTTCTTTTGTCATTTTTTAATTCCAAGTCATGTGTCCACTAATTTATCATTGGTCGAAAATTATGCATTAAAAACAGTTAATTCGTGATCCATCAATGAAGGAAAGGATCTACATAGTAAAATTCCGGGATAAGCATCATAGTAAAATCAATTAGTGTCCATAATCTGGAACCGCTGCAGAAATAGCACAATATTTTACATGTAGATTTGTACTTTAAAATTACTAAATAAAACTCTGAGTATCTGGCTA